ACGAAATATTTGGAGATGAAGTATAAGCAAATATTCCATTATTTGTAGACTTCACGTCTAAATATGTATTTCATCGCGCTCCTATCAATTACGAACGTGTGTTGGATTGCACTTCGTCGCATTGACCGATCTATATTCTATCTTTAATAATTATTTTTTAATTGATCTTTAATAATTGATCTTTAATAATTCGTTACTGCGAAAATTGCAAAATGGTACTTTTCTGCTCAGTTTGATCCGCTCTATCTGCACACAAGCAATACCATTAGGAATCAGATACCCTGCATGTTTTGACTACAGAAAAGTAGAATAAAATATAACAATATACAGAGATTTCAATAAAAAAATTTTTTATTAAAGTAAATACATTTGATGGATTATATCTTAGTATCTTAACACAATCAGAATATATGAACATCTGTTTCTGCAAAAGTTTTCATGCTTATTGCAAAGAAATAAACTACTCACATATTTTTCGAAATATTTGTATAAAATGCAAAGTTGAATTATAATAGCTCGAGCTCAATATAATTAACTACAGCAAAATAAAGACATCCCATTAAAAGTAGAATAATTATAATATAAATAAAGTTTTATATTCAAAACTTTTACTCTTGTGATATTTATAATATTGTAAAAAACATTATTGTAAAACTTAAATAATTATTCTGGAAACGTAGTATAGTGTAAATTAAAAATGTATCATTCTATAATAATTATTAAACAATTGATTAAATGTATTGATTAATGTATTTGATTTAACAACATCTTTTAACTAGAATATTCCAGAAACTGAAAATAGAAAATATACAATGAAAATTTAGACTATTATAATATTTGTATCTATTATAAATTATAACTTATCTAAATATAATTAATCAATTGCTTAATTATTATAATGATACTCATTTCTTTGATTCATTGCGGCATTAATTTCTCATGCAAGCTATGACCTATTCCCTCTAATTTAGCTAAATAATTTATGGCGCAAAGATTTTAATTAATTAAGATGACCATTTTCGTGCCATTTAAATTTTATGAAGGATTATTACATAAAATTCTACTCATCAATTAAATCTTCACATTTATGAAATATGTATTTTTTAATCGAACATGATCGAACCTGATATAGAACATCTAATTAAATAAATATTTATAGTTCTTTAATATAAATTATTGCTATGATTTAATGTAAATGAATTATCGTAATTTAATCGTAATTTATCTTATTAAATTTTACATTTAACTTTACTGAGAAATTATATCGAAAGTTATAAATAATGCAGTGAATACTAAATGAATAATAAATGAGGAATTTATGAGTTCTTCTGATGTATTAAAATAATTTAAAATTATTAACATCAAGCTCACTGTCGTTTTGTCATAAAGAACATATACTATATATGAAAACAATTCAATTCAAATTTGTGATCAATCCTGTATACAGTGAAACATTGTTCTTCGAAAATAAAAGGTGTATTGAAACTTGTTAACGAATCTCGCGTGTCATGTTTCATTAAATATCGATCACTATCTGGTAGTTCGAGCAATAAATCTCTCTTGTTTTGTGTCTCTTATTTATTAAAACATTGACATTATATTCCATAGTATAAAAATTAAAGATTATCATATATTAAAAATTTTGTAGAAATATAAAAAGAAATGAAATGTTTTACAATAAAAAAAAGAAAAAATATTTTATTATATTTATAACTTTTTAAAGTTGGCATGTCTAAATTTGTCGATTATCAGAAAAGTACGAAGATGATTTAAAATTACACGAAAAAATTTTGCTAAGGACGTTGCTGATGAATTTGCGAGATGAATTTCATTGAAAAGAATTATTCAGATATTTGCAAGTGCAATATCTCTACACACACTATTACACGCACATATTAGAAAAATTGTGAGAAATTATGTTTTGTTGTGAAAAATGTTGCAACCATTCTTGCTTAATAATACTCGCATATATTGAAAAATTCATTTGCATCCGATATTTCCTCATTCAGCTCCAAATATACATATGTGAACAAATTCCCTAGTTGTATCCAACCATTTTAAGCACAGATTTTAAAACTGACGAGGCAACATTTAGATTAAACATTGCAGAAAGTCTGAACTTTGGAAAATTTTTGTGTCAAAATATAGTAAATGATGTATAAAGGCAAACAATTTTGCAATATAGATTTAGAAGGTTCAACAGATTATATATAACTTAATTAATTATTCTTAATATCTTTAAAACTGTATAGCTTTAATTAAAATTAAAAGTTTGATATCTTTTAAAAAAATATTTAAATATCAAATATTATGATATTTTTTATTATTATTATTATTATTTTTTATTATTTTTTTTATTATTTTTTTATTATTTTCTTTAGTTTTGCTACACATAATTTTTAAATGTTTATTATATTTTAAATATTATATAATAATATAGTTTATTATCAGTCAGAAATAGAACATACAAGTATACGATAAAACAGCATCTTCTAGATTATCGAGTTATAAAGATTTCAATTTAGCATGAGGATGAGCAGCAGATAAAATCAAAGTGATTGGAAGAACTGTACAACATATAAACGATAGGAAACGAGAAAATTTAGAAACAATTGTACTCATTATTTTTCTCTTTATGAACCAGATATAAAAGGAATTGGAATGTGAGTTTAAAAAGCATATACATATATATAACAATAAAATAAAATAAATATTGATTGATTAAAATTTTTGATTAAAAATTTGATTAAAATAAAATCGAAATAAACATTTTAGGAAAATTATTATGTCAATTTTAATAATAATTGAGAATTATATTGAAAAGCTATTTGCTTCAGATATCTTAACTTTTTTGATATATGTATACATTAAATATATATATTTTTTAAACATGAGTCAATTTTAAAATGAATATTTAATGCTAAAATATTTTTATAGCTATTTTCAAATAAGTCAAGAAGATTCTTCTTTTATGATCAAATTCCTATTTTTCATAATTTGTCAATGATATAATTTGTTCGATCTTCACAAAAACGAACAAGAGCAATTTAATTAACAGAAGAGAAAAGTATGTTATCAGATATATGCCAATATTTAAATATAGATATTTGTTCTTTGTTGTCAGATATATGCCAATATTTAAATAATAGATATTCGAATGATTTTACAAGAGAAAACTTACTTGCATGAGACAGATCTAAACAACTTATACAGTTTTATATCAAAGACACTTGAATAATATTACATGTCTAGGAGTTCTTTTTAGCGAATAAATAGATAATTTTCAACCATAAATGTCAAAACGTGGTGAATATAACAAATGCTTGTGCCGCAGAAGAGCTACTTTTACGCAAATGCACGTAGCTGTATTTTCAGTCATTAGCAATTCCGTGAATCACTTTTGCTGTATGGTTTATTTTAAAAATGGTATTTGCACGTAAGCACTTCTAATGCTACGCCGGGTGCATACGTGCATGCATGCAAATGTCTCGCTATATATGCGATAGGTGTATTTGTATGCATGTACGTACGTGTACATCGACAGCTAACGTAATAGAATACTACGGCCTGAGTGCATTCAGTCGATGTTGCCGGGGACCTGATTTATAGTGTCCTAAGAACACGGCGCTTATTCGATAAGTGGAAGTCACTTTGCTCTCATAGGAATTGTGGAAAGAGTTACGGGATTCGTCACGCTAGAAAATCGATGCGTCAATGATTTAGAATTTCAGGGCATGCAATACTTATCGATTTACTTTCGTCGCGCAAAGAAGACAAGGCCTTCATCAAATTGAATACGCCAAGAACAGAACTGAATATGACACTTCCAAACATGGATATAGACTCGCTTACTGTCAAAAAATTTATATCGAAGAAAAGAAAAAGTTTCTCAAACTGATAAAATTTTACTAACTTATTGTTAGTATATTTTATCGAAATGTATTCTGTTATATCAAATGTCAACGCATTTTAGTTAAAAAAAAAAAAATAACAAATTGTTTAATATTGAAGTGACAGGCATAATATTAACATGACAGACATAATGAAATTTTTTATCTATTTTTCAAGCTGGAAAATATATAGGGTAAATATAGATTGTTGAAAATAAAATTTGCTTTCGCTGAAACTGATAGAGCAATATATCGGATCTGCTCATCGATTTGCGTGAAACGAAATGCTCGAAATTGTCGATACGCTTGAAATAACGTACGTAAATAACGTATGTATGCAATCTCTAGTACATCCAGGATATGGTTATTTAGCGTACACAAAAAAAACGCAAAAAAATAGATCAAGTTTCGAATGTTGACATTTGTGATATAGAGTAATAAATTCACATATAACTTTAAAGATTAACACTTTATTTATACTGATTTATATAAAGTTTATTTAAAAAGTTTGTTGTATGTATGTATATAACTAATGTTATTTATAAAATTTTTACCGTAAAATTTTTATTGTACTGTCACAAACAGAAATAAAATATTAAAATCTTATTTTTTAAAAAATAAAAAGAATATCAGAGAATATTACATATTAAAATAAAATCTTTCTTTATCAAGTCGTGAATTTTTTCTGACTCTGGTGTATATAATTTTTTATTCGTTCTCATTATTTCTCCGAACATCAAAGCAAAAGATAGTTTCCCGCTGAATAATATAATCTTTGCATAATGGTGAATATATAACATTTTTGTTAAGGAATTCCATAATAATCACTATTCCATCAAAAGAATTATTTAAAGAATGCATTTATCCAAATGAGAAATAAGAAACATAAAATAACATACTATTTTATTGTGCAGACATTTAAAAAAGTAATCAAAGAAAAGGAAGAAACATTATATTATATTAATCATGTATATAGTGATTTAATAACTATCATATAATTATAACACACAAAAAGATGACAATAGAATTTTAAATTCATTGCGAGATATGTATATTCGAAAAAACTAGCGAAAAACAGTTGTTTTAGATAAATATGGTTTATATTTTTAGTGCAACCAGCGTTTATACGTGTCGTCGATGAAAATACAAAAAACACTCTGAGCACCGGCGCCATTTTAGGACCTATAAACGAAGGTTCGACGATATCTTTGTATTGCGGAAGTGGAGAAGGAAAACCTGTACCTATAGTCGAATGGTATAAGGATGATCAGCTTCTTGACGGTAAGATTTACAATATGTTAAAACATTGAAACCGATAGAAAGATATATCTCAAGTTTGTAAATTGGTATGTGCTTCTAAGAAAATTTGAAAAAATATAAGCCATTTTATTTTTTCAATTAATAACATTCATATTTCCTTCTATTAAACAACTTAACTAGTGATAATTTACAACGATAAGAATTAATTTAGTGGTAATTTTTCGCTCTGCTATATGAAAGATTGTATATGTAATAAATTATAAATTATGTAATAAATTTATAATCTCGAGCTACTTTAATATACTATAACTTATAATTTAATTACGCTAAATGTATTTTGAATCAAACCTAATTTTTTTCTCATACACGATAATAAATTTCATACGTGATAATCTAATGATCTAAATGAGATAAATAAATAAATAATTATACTCTAAATATATAATTTGATTTCCACGTTTTAATAGAATTGCATATGAATTAAAATGTAAAAGAAGCATAATCGTTCAACCAAATTATTGAAAGATAAAGGAAAGCTTTTTTCATTAATCAGTTATCCGATGATATTCATTAAGGATTTCTCTGGTTTTATTGTACTATTAATTTTATACGATTTTAAAACTATATTAAAAAGATATTAAGTACTGTTGCAATTTCTCGTACATTTTATGATACACTTTATTCTAAATTTGAAATGAATTTGTGAAATGTACATATTAAAATACGTGACAGTCTCTCTTTCTCTTTCTCTTTCAATGTATTTATCAAGAAATGTACTATTTCAGCGACGAGCTCGACCATCGTTACTGATACCGGAATAGGTACCGGCAGTAGTTTACTGGAGATGCAAATTACACGAGAAGAGTTAGGCGCAACGTTCACGTGTAAAGTCAACAGTATTGCTCTCGTGGAGCCACTCACGGTTGATATTAAACCAGACATACATGGTGAGTCATCTCATTCAGAAATAACACAACAAGATACTTCTAATCCGCCAAAGACAACACGTCTGCAAACTATACGAGATACTAATGAAATATCTTTTTTGCTATGAGCTTTATTCGGTTATTCTTATTAATTTACACGACTTAAAAACACAGAATGAAAATCTTTCTGCACGTTTCATTTTTAATTGCGTTATCGCGAAGCTATCAGCCGAGCTAACAATCTGTCCGAAATAATATTTTAATGGTAATAATATTTTAATGGTATTCATTATAGACTAATAACAAAGCTTTCAGTCCTACAATGATGGACTATCAATGACGCTCAATAAACTTTTCAACGTCAATTAAAAAATGTATGTACATCGATCATTACTTTCGCGTGAAGCATTGACTATGTATGAATCGATTATCGCATATCGATGGAGGAAATGTTATACGCTTGGATCGCCTACAATTTAGATTGCGCGATGTAATTTGCGCGCGATGTACTACGCAATTCGATAACCGTCGCTACAAACTCCGTACGGACATAGCAATAGGATGAACGAATATAGGTACTTTGACCTAAATTTGCAACAATTCTGCTGGGTATCGTTTATTCATTAAATCAAAACATGGGTAACATCGAGTAAACTCACCGTTCGTATGAATATGAATGACATTGCGACCAGAGCGGTACATCAGCCGGACGAGGAAGATTTTTGTGCAGAGTACACCTACCGCAGAGAATATAAATTAACTTAAGTTTTAATGTCAATTAGCATTTCCTAATAAAGTCTGAAGCAAACTGTGTAATATCACAGATTAAAAAGTTTAAGAGAATAGTGCTTTAACAGCGTTAATGGAGAATGAAATCTTGTTTCTCAGTTTTAAAGAAATTTAGAATCGAGATATTTTATTATTATTGTTAAAACTAAACAGTGTTAATGTATTAATAATTATTTATAAAAGAAATAGATCTCTAAATATTACCACTTCAGATTTTATTCAATATCTTAATATATTTTATTACATAAGAAAAATTCTTCGTATTATAATAATAATAATTTTATATTACAAGTTGTTCTAAAAATACAACATTGATAAATACTTGATAAAAAGTAACTTTTCCTAATTATTGTCTTAAATAAATTAAATACTTAGCATTTGCACACTTTAATTTTTTTTATATAATCAACATTTACGATGCACAGAATATGCATTAACATTTAACGTTTTCTATTTTTTCCAACATCTTTAATAAATATGTTACATATATGTTTAATTTAATCTACTAAATTAGTGCAATATTACGCTTGTGTGCTATGTTACATATTACTAAACGAGCCTCCACAAAGGTATATGTATTAAGCGTTCTCAAAACAGAGAATTTAGACATGTCAACCCCCACAGGTCCTTTCATTTCGTAAAACGTAATAACATAGTTAGTTAAAGTGAAGTCTCTGTCATAACGTTACTAATCCTGATCTCTGTCATAACGTTACTAATCCTGATTATTCAACACGAGATACTATTGAATCTTTCCACAGCTTTGCTAGCATTCTCTAGCATATTCTGCCGCGGGACGGGACGCTCATAAGAAACAGTCGAGAGAGAAAAAAATGGCCATGTCGCGTGCCTCCATATTTTATCTCCACAATAACGCAATTTGAACGATCTATGAACGCAAAGTTTGGAATTCGTTTTGAGAGATGGCTCAACGTTTAAATCTCTGAAATTCGCGCGAAGAGGCGAATGTGAGTGCAGAGAAAAGTCGTGCTTTGAAAAGTCTCGTGAAGCGGGAGTGCACGGAATTCGATTTGGAGTGAGTGGAAAAGTGGTTTGCATGTCGAATTTGGATCGCCGGACAGAACTCTGTGCACCAGTTATAAACCGTACCATTGCCGAATTTTTAAAACGGAAAACTGGCAAAACATATTTTTAAGCTTTGCTATGAAATTTTACGACGTCGCCTTTTAGGTCAAATCAATTTTATGCATGGTCCCGTATAAATTACGTAATAATTGCTTTACAGTTATCATCACGCACGCATGCTAAAAGAGCTTCTAAAATAATTTTCATACGTGTTAATCGAATTAAAATAATATGGAAGTAACGAAAAATTAACTATATATACGTGATTTCCCAACCTTTTACCCAAAAACCTTTAATAAAGTTTATAAATAAACTTGCTTGTTTCTTAACATTCAAATAAACAAAGTTTTATATTGAGATACATCTTTGCGAAATGTCAAATTAATTGATATAATCTAAGTGAAGTAAATTATACATGCGAGCATTATTATTTTACGAATAAATGCACTTAACATAATTCCACTTAATATAATATAAATTAGATTATATATTATGTTAAATCATTACAAATACAGAATTGTATCACACAGAGTTCTGTATTACTCCAGAATTCGGCACGGCAGAGAAATCTTAATGAAATTCTCTCATTAACTGTATACTACCATACTACCTCATGCCAATAGGTAATTTCAGAAAATTATTCTGTTTTATCGAATATGCAATTCTCGTATGAATTTTGAACCGTTTTAATAACCTGCCTATTGTCCACTTGTATTATGTATTATGCATTACCATCTATCATAAATTACTTATAAATTATTAAACAATGTATCTGTTAAACGTATGAAATAAAGTACAAATACTTCTAACTAACTTTAACTAAAAAGATATATACTTCTTAAATAAAAAAAAGTATGATCTTTTTAATAGTACAATCATAATAATATATGATTGAAATATTCAGAGATTTCCTCATAATTTCTTTAGTATATGCATGAATCGCTCCTGCATGAATTTGTCGATTAAAGCATATACGTCATTATAACGGTACTTGTAATTACGGCGCGCCGTATATCCGTTATTTGAAAATTATCTAAACGTGAACTCACCTATGCGTACGAAATTTGTACATTCTAATAAATAATTAAATGTCCATCACTTCGTTGCGAGAAGGGGTTTCCGCGTGACCACGCGCGTTGCAAGATTACTGATGGATTTACGAAATTAATGCGCTGTATAGGCCATTCTTGTTTACGATTAGAAATTCATTAACGTTAACCGAATTTCGCGCCGCTGTAATAATGTGCAAATAGATGCGCGAATTCGTGTAATTCTCGGCATATCGATAAACGCGTTATTAACTTTGAAGTCGAGATTAATTATCTCGCGTTGATTTCTCATTATTGAATCAAATATTTATTGGTACTTAGACAGTTATTACACTAAATTGACATTATGATATTATGTCGAAGAAGTAATCAATATTTTATGAAACTTTATTATTATATTATATATATTTAGAATATTTAGCATACTATTTATAAACCATTTTTTATATAAACCATTTTTTTACAATTATTATCATCAATAATTATTAAGTTTAAGTAGAGCTTTATATTTAACTCTTATAGTGAGAATGAATTGATTCTTCTGATGAATAAATTGCTCTAATTGTACTAATAGAATGTAAAACAATAACAGTTCTAAATTTAAACTTACTTACATAATGCATTCTTTTAATAAATGAAAACGAACATTAGCAATGTAAGATAAGAAATTATCTCGCTCTGAAAAACAATAAGCTAAAAACGTGTTGCGTGCTTTTCTGATATTTGATAAAAATGTAATTAAAGGTTAATATATTATTTAGGTATATCATAGAGAAAAATGCGCTGATATATTAAAATCTGTTTTATCGTGAAAGGCCTCGGCCTTTTGTCGAGATAAAATCATGAATTATAGGTCAACTGCAGTCATATGCAGCGTACCTAATATCTAATGAGCAATTTTATTTTGTTCTTTTTTTATATTTTTTGCTATTCTGTTAAACTGTATAGAGCTCGGAAAGAGAGAAAGAGAGAGAAGGAGAGATAGATCCTTATAATACACTTCTAATTATGTATATTTTTTTCTTTATGTCGCGATATCTTACTCGCTATTGCTGTTAATGATACTTTTGCGTTACACAGGATTATGGAACATGATATCGCTCGCTGATATGAACGCTTTTGCTAACACGTCGACACTGTTCGTCCCGATCCCGTGTCGTGAAAAATTGTCTCTCAGCACGATAAGAACTAGATAGGTGGCACAAGCGAGTAACGTGAAAAATTTTCAAAGAAAAAGAAGATAGAAGAACCGTACCGTCGAGTTTCAACGTAAAGCGCAGTTTGAAATTCTTCAGCATGGTCAGTTCAGCGTAGAAAATATAAATAAATTCCCAGTGAGCCATTGCTAACGATCTGCGGTGAATTTAAAGCGGAAATGTCGCAAATGCCCCTGGGATACCTGCGAAAATCTCACGACTCCGCAGCTGCTCGTTGAAAGTCGTGGAAGCAAGGTTGTGGCAGTGACGAGAAAAGTACCTGGCGGAGTTTTCAGACGGAGCGCTTCTTATAGGCAAACAAAACCAGGAAATCGCATTGCCACTGGCTATAGACTTAAAAAGTCTCGGTCGGCTTATCGGGTTGCGAATTCTTAGAAAATTGTGGCCAAGAAGAAAATGTGAGCGTGGTAGCCGAACAGAGAATTTTCACAAGAATGAGGAAGGAATCTGATCGTCAGGCATCTTAGATATTAGTTTAAAAATGACTATGATTAAAAAACGTTCTTGTGGACATTTTGAAGCTTTCATGAAAAATTTGCAGTTCCGAAAAAATTATTTTTCGCAAATTGTTATCACCGCTGCGTGCTTTTATAACAAATGAATATTTAAATTAAGAGATGACGATTTTGATAGACGACTATTGTAATATTCTCTGGGGGTATATAATTTTTAAACGAAAATTAACTGTTAAAAATTGTTTAATTCTCAAAAGGTCTATATATGTCTATCTATATTTTAAAATTTAGTTTTATTATGTTTTATAGATTTATTATTATAATTATATTTATAATTCAACAACTTTTGAATTAATTCTGAATTAATAATCGAATAGGACAATTTTACAAGATATGATTGATCTTTGTAAATTTTTGCGAAATATCATATGGTGTTATATCTTCACGCTGAACAAAATATCCATATTACCCTCTTGAAAAGCATAGGTGCGATAAAACACGATTTATAATGCAACCCACTGGCATCCGGATTGCATTATAGAATGGATTCAAAGTAAACGTCGTCGCGCAGATTTGTTCCAGGATCAGAAGCATCAGCACATTTTCCACGAAAAAACTATTTGCCCAAAGAAAGTGACTTTTTTTCCCCCTTTTTGTTATTCCCGTCACCATTCTCTCTCTCTCTCTCTCTCTCTCTCTCTCTCTCTCTCTCTCTCTCTCTCTCTCTCTCTCTCTCTCTCTCTCTCTCTCTCTCTCTCTCTCTCTCTCTCTCTCTCTCTCTCTCTCTCTCTCTCTTTCTCTTATCCTCCGCTCGTTTCTCCGCATCCGTTGTGCCCAGGGAGGGGGAGTGCAAGGCAAATGCAATTCCCGATATTAAATTCGCCATTCGCTCTCTATTCGGCTCGTGCACCTTTTCTTCTCGTATTCCTCTTGTATTGAATACCGTTCACCGAGTTTAGCCGGTGAATTATCGGTCGATGTTTTCTGCATGACTTTGCGAGAAGCCTCAAATGATGATCCACCAATACCAAGCTGCACATAAAAATTGCAAAGTTCGATAATCACCAATTCGGCGAAAAAAGAACTGCAACAGATTACAGTTTAAAAAATATAATTAAACTTTCATTAAACATAATCCAAAGTCATGACACACATCTAATTTCTTTTTATAAAAATTTTAATTAGATTACTGCGGACAGTATTCGCGAAATATACTCATTAAAAATAGTGATATACGTGACAGTTTAATTTATTCATAAATATACAATTAAATACTTATAAATTCGATTTAAATGTAAAGTAGACATTAATAAAGTAGACGCCGCAAGACATTTTGCAAAAAACTGAGTTAAATTTGCGATAACGTGCGTAGAAAAATGTAGGTATGCGTAGTTCGAGGGAAACTCGATCGTGAATCTCATAGTACACCGTGATGTACGTGACGGCACGTTTGCGAAATCTATCGGCGCTAATGGATAGTACCTACATATACGGCGTCGCGGATATGCATCGTCACCGATTAACACGGTTCTATAAGCCGTTTTTATCGTAGACTGTGTGTCCCCGTAGGAGCTTCCGGATCGATTCAATTCGATATCGAAATGACAGTTTTCGAATATTCCATTAACCGTGACTTTCCGGAACGAGCGCGTTACCAACGCAGGCATTGAAAAGTTGTCCATCATGTCTGTCTATCGACATCCCTGTCACTGCAACGATATACAAGTGTCTCGACCATTAGCCATCTGTTAAATAAACAAACATTCGCATATCCAAGTATTATCACATTACGGTTTTTCTTATGGCAAAAATTGTATATACAGATTGTATATACAGATTTAATTTAATGCGTTCAGTCTTGAAGAATACCATTGATCATTCTGTGAAATTTTTAAAACTCTAGAGATATAAGTTTTTCTTACTTTAAAATACAATATCTACAAAATATAATTTTGAAGATATTGTATTGTCATTTTGTTAGATGTCTATCTTGTAATGAAAATCATATAACATAAATGAAAATTATTTACATATATCGTTTTTTGCTTTTAAGTTAGTTATATTTGTTTACAATGTGTAATTTCACTGCATGTAAACAAATACTAGTACGATATAAAATTGTTGTTGAAATTGACATTTCACATGCCTCACATATGCATCCACAGTAACATCAATCTACTCTCAATTACACATGCCAAGTCTAATATCGCTTCGATGCTATGCGAAGCCTGGATACCACGTTCGTCATTACATGATGTAATTATGATGTTTGTGACTGACCATTACAGCGACTGTATTTCGTGTAGTTGGTACACAGAACAACAATACATTTAACATTAGACAGACAGCTACGGAAATGATCAAATATGATATGTGAACTTTGTGGGTTTATCATGTGGGTTTATCATGTGGGTTTATCTTTATAAAGAATTACTTGTCATTCCATGTCGTTCCATGATACAACCTCCGATGTTCAAAAATCACGAGCAATTTAAGCGCTCGTTTAAGCAACTCGTGATTTTTTTAAAGTAGCATTTGCGGTTCGTTAGTTATAAGACTAGATAAGAACATAAAAAGATAATAGCAAATGATGACGCAAGTGAATTTTTCTTAACGCGTCGTCCACGCGTTAGCTTCTTTGCTAAGAATGTGTTATAAACTTGTATATTTTAATTAATTTATAATGGAAATAATAACCATAATGTCGTAGAAACCTGTGATATATCAAATTTAAACGTACAATCGGATTGCACGATTCAAATTGCCATGAATATTAAATGATACGTATCAAATATTTATCACTGAATGAATGATCTTCGAATTACTCGAAATTTAGAATATGTGCAGTCAAACAAATGGAATGCTAATAATGATGTAATTAAATTTAAAAAAATGTTTTCTTTAATAAACAAGTTATACATTTAAAAAATAATTTTTATTATGAATATATTATGTGTTCATTTCATTATTTAATTATTTATAATACATCATCATATAATTAAAAAGTGTTGAGAATTATTTATTTAAAACTTTAATATAAAAAGTAGCCACTTTAATATAAAAATTAATTATTAATACTTGAATAATACTAATACAATAAAATGTATGTAGTATTGACTAATACAATAAAATGGCTCAAAATTAAGCTATGCATAATTATGTACTTTATCAGAAAAGTATTAGAGCTTTGTGTAGAAAAATTTCAATATTGTGTCGCAAATAATATTCCTATCTTTTTACGTACTATTTTAATCTGCTTATTTTTTTTTTTTTTTATATAATAGTACGCCCCCTGAAGATGGAATTGAATGGAGTGGTTGGCCATGTCGTGCAAGGAACGAAGATTTTATTGCAATGTACAGTACAAGCCGCAAGACCAGCCGCCAATGTAACGTGGAGAAATGGAACACAACTCTTATCCGAGGACAACGAGAGATTCGAAATGTTTGAAACGAAAATACAAGAAAATGTGAGTAAATGCAATGTTTACGTTATATTGCCAAAGGCGACCATTACCGGAATCTGCATAGAATTCTTAATATATAATAAATTGTTAATAGACCAGAACTTTATGTTAGCTTATTTGCATCAAAATAAATGTATATAGGATAAGCATGTTTGGTAGTAGAGGCGAAAATGAATGAGAGAAGTGCTACGCGAAAGTTTTGATTCATTTACCTACTCGACGAGAGCGTACAGATCCGCAAGTGCCGTAACAACTTCGCGAAACTACCTACCAAGAAATTTTAAATCGATCGGTAGAGCACCTATCGTATATTTTAATTCTCATTTAACGGTTTTACGGAGCAACAAATTTTCGTGCTCACTCCGGAAAAAGTAGTGGAATCGAAACGAATTTAGAATTTAGGAAGTTCTAAATTTAAGGTTGGTTAGTGTACTTCTCAGAATTTCTTTTCGAGTTATATTCGGTTTTTATTTCAGGTACGATTTAGATCGGTTTAAAAACGGGATTGCACGCATTAAAAGGCTCGCATTATCTGCAATATCCTTCTATTGTTTCATTAACGTAGAAATAGTTTCATTTTTTTTTTAATTCTACTTCGCAAAAAACTACTGACGCTCGTACAATGAAAAGATACTCGCGAAAATCGAAAACGAATTAAAGAAAACCAAAAATTCCTATGACTTTCTATCAAATAAAATACTTTATTTTAAATTAATTTTTGAAGAGAGATACAATAAAATATTTTAGAAACGAGAGCGTCAAAAAAAAGAAATCGTTATTTATTTTCGAGTCACGTGGCTTTGTTTTATTCTCCATTTGTAAAAAATCTATTTCATGCTCGAACAAGTAGCTGCATGGCAATGGTGGCATCGAAAAATCATTAGACTCTACATGCGCTATTACGTATATGTATATGCATACAGAAGTCGTAGGTGTCACGCAGCTATCATAAATCCATTACGGAAGTATCTGAGGCTATAAAGCCGCGTGCACGCAGAATGACTGTATGCGGGATCACCCGCATCTACGTGGTGCAAAAAGAAAGTCACCATGGTTAAGGTAGATAGAACGGCGTTATGTTTTTCCAACAAAGATTCTTTACGAACTTTTGTGAAAATGTTGTCTCATGGAACAAAAACGCTCACATTCATTAATCTTTTTCCACTTTCCTTGTGTCGGCATAAACTAACAATAATTACGAAATATCATTAAATTAAAAGTAAATGTGTAAAACAATTTACATATTAGCACTAATCTTTTGTTATCTTGCGTGCATATCTTGCACAAAATGTTGTACTATATTTTTGCAAACAAAAAAGTGCTCGCTTGAATAATGCAAAAATAATTGTCTAATGGTATAGAATAACAAAATAAATGCACAATGAACTTAATTCAATTTTGCGATTAATTAATAATGTTTAAAGAAGAATTGTTTGTTGTCGTACCAATAGGCAACAAATCGTTGATTAAATCGCAGATCGATTCTCATAATTACCATTATCGAAATGAATCCCTTATATTTTCAATACCACGCGATTGAGATATCATAATTAACGTTTACTAAATGAGCCTGGATTGTGGAACGAACAGCGATATGTCCAAATCCGTTCACGACGTTGCACATGATAGCAAGTGGTATCTATCTAGCGGCAAGCAATTACATGCCACGAATTCCTGCCTGATATGAGCATCACGTCATAACAGGATTAAAAGGATCACATTTTTAAGCTCGAGTACCTTTTTTCGCGAAGTAGGATATTGCGAGCTCAGTAGAAGATGATTTTACAACAATTTCTCGACAAGTCGAATTTTGTACTCTTCTTTATACTTTTATATGTGCTTTTATGAATTCTCCTAATAAATCGCTATATTTAAACAAGAGTATACTTTTTATTAGATTTATTCAGAATTACTCAAAGTTTCATTATTTTCAGTAACTTAAATCCTTAAAATCCTGGTGTTGTTGGAAAACAACAATTTCAATTTTAATCTTATATAGGAAATTGAAAAAAAAAATATTCTAAGGAATAATCATGCAAATAAAATATGCAAATGATTTCTTATTAATATAAATAAGTTTTCCTTTTATAACCTTTTATATATTTGGACTTCTTATCGGAAGTAACGTATATTAATAGGTTTTTATAAATACTGTTCTAATTTAAACATTTGAACACTTAATAAACTTAGGAGGTATAAATATATATTTAAAGAAATCTTTTTTGCTAACTGTTTAAAATCTCTCTGTTTGCAGGATGATAGTACATTCGACACGATAAGTTATCTCGTATTTACAGCAACGATATACGACAATAACAGAACATTCAAGTGTTACGCCGACAATTCTGTCACTCGTATCGAAGATTTTAAACCAATGAAAGAAGCAACGACGATCGAAGTATTATGTAAGTTACATGATTTTTAATAGATGAATTAACCATCATTTGCCGGCAATTTTTTTGCAACAATATATTTTGCAGTTTTATTTAAATAACAATTTCAATTTATATGTATATATATATATATATATATATATATATATATATATAATAATATATATATATGT